GCACATGATTCCTCGCCCATTAGCAGCGATGTTGATGAAGCTATTAGTAAAGCAGAAAATCGAAAGAAGCAAGTGGAACTGAAATGCAGAACACTGCAACGGTTTCGCAAACCGTCTGGTGGACGACTACTCAATCTACAGGATCCGCCTTCTCCGCTGACTTTCACTGATCCGCATCCTCAACCGTCAGTAGTGAAGTACTGTGTCACATCGAATCAACAAATTGAGGATAGAGGAAGTAATAAGAATGAGAGAGACATTCTGCACCCTCCACAGTTTCGTGAACCACTTAAAATATTTCCCACACGTGGGGTTACACCCCTCCGACGAATACCAACCTCATCCTCGTCCTCTACTTCCCCTGCTGCTATCGCCCCAACAGACGGTTCATCGTCGATTGATGAACAAGTATTTGGCGATCAACGAGGAAAATGGATATTTCCCACACCCAGAAGCATTTACGTTGAGGAGAGCCAGCAAACACATTATGACCTGCGAAATAGTCACCGCAATAAGGGGACTACCGCGATGCCGGATGGTGAGCTGAAGCCGCCACATCATTACACCGGTCCAGGGATGTTTAGGGGTCTTTCGCCAAGGTTACCTTCACAAAGTGATCGTCCACGTGAGTTTCTTCTGTTTTATCAGTGTGATGTGAGGCCATGGGTCATCATCGGTTTGGCATATAACGCAAAACCTGTAGATGTGCTTTATGCATCACAAATTGTCATTTTTTGTATTAAATACTTCTACTCCTTATGGATGTTCCTCGAAAACACTTTCTGGAATAACTTTGAGCCATATTAAAGAGACAGATCTGATTTTGACGTTGACCACGTAATTCGATTCTCGTAAGTTCGTTTGTCGGGTACGTTTCCCACCACACACACATCAAGCACAGTCTCTTGGTGGTATGCGTCTTTGAAGTGCGCGCTATTAAGGAGAGTTAATGCATCGCTTGAAGTCAATCAACCAATGAAGTGTCTGTCTTTTCCCCCACCAAACACCTTTGTCTGTCAGTCCATTCACCGGCTGCTTCTCAATAAAGCAGGAAGACATAAACAGCTGTCTTCAGGAACTTGAGGGCTGTCGTCCCTAGTGTGGAGGGTTATGAGACTCACCAACTCGTCAGCACGCCTCATAAGCCTTCATTCCATACGTGAATTAAGAAAAAAGCCAAGTGTGGCGTCTTTCACGCCAGCCAGCACCAAAAGAAACCT